TTTGGAACAGAGCAATAAAGTCCTTCCACCTTCTCTAATTTTCCCACTACCCAACCCGTCCCCTTTTTAATCACCAAATATTGCAAGTTCACCAGCTTCCCCAACACTCCTTTTGGTAACGTCTCGATCCCTGTGCCCCATAGGTCAAGGTACCTCAACTTTACCAACATCTCCATCCCCTCTGGCACTTCTTCAAGCATTACACACCCGTTAAGGTCCAACTTTCTTAGAGATCCCAAATTCCGTACGCAAGGTATATGACATAATTCTTCACACTCTCGGAGCAACAGTGCTTCCAAGCTCTCCAAGTGAGAGATGGCATTCGGTAATTCTGTGAGACTAGTGCAGCTGAGATCTAGAACCTTCAGCCCCTTCATATGCTTCAATCCTTCTGGTAATGTCTCGATCATTGTGCCATGTAGGTCGAGGTAACTCAACTTTACCAACATCTCCATCCCATCCGGCACTTCTTTAAGTATTGTGCACCCATTAAGGTCCAACTTTCTCAGGGATCCCAAATTCTGTATGCAAGGTATATGATATAATTCCTCACACTCTCGGAGCAACAGTGCTTCCAAGCTCCGCAAGTGAGAGATGGCATTCGGTAATTTCGTGAGACTGGTGTAGCTGAGATCTAGAACCTTCAGCCCCTTCATATGCCTGAAGAAAGATTCGTGGATAGCTTCCAAAAACATATTGTTATTCAACGACAGGCTCATAAGTTTAGGGCAATTTGGTGATATGCTGTATGGGATTTTTTGTATATTGTTGCCCTGTAAAAAGACTTTCTCCAGACGATCGGTCCAGAACTCTTCCTCTGGAATTTCTTTCAATCCCATTTTGGCCTTGACCACGTGTGTTGTGCTCCTCATTATATGCAATGCCATGCCTCTTATCAACGGGTGTAGAGATATATGTTGTCCATCTTCATCACAAAGGCAACCCTTTCTTAATTTGTCTAGTATGATGTTACCCTGTTCGTACACTTCTTGCCGGGTGCTAATTCTATCTAACAAACCCTCATCTATGAAAGACTCTATCAACTTTGTTTTACTAGATTTTTGATATACTTGTGCTAAATGCAAGAAACACTGTTGCACCTGAGAATCACCCAAGTTCACGTAACTAAGTTTCAGTCTCTTGAACACGTTAAGTTCCACCCTCGACTCTTCTAATTTCCACAACATGCCTTTCCATTCGTGCACTTCCTCTACTCTCCTCATGTGAGTTGCAATCTCAATGATCCCAAGTGGCAAACCCCCACACTTATCAACAATGGACTTTGCAATTTTTTTGACTTCTGAAGGAAGTTCTCTCCCAAAGCAGAGTTTCTCTCTAAATAAGCTCCAATCATCTTCATTTAATTTTTCTAGAGGTTTTATTTTGATTTCCTTTTGGCAGAGCATCTCATGACACACATTCAGTGATCGAGTTGTCAATACCAACTTAATGCCACCCTTCTCAACTGGAATTCCCACATCCTCAAAGTCGAAGTGCATCCACAGGCCATCTAAAATTAATACAGCTCTCTTTTTCTTTAAATGTCTATTCAACATGGACGCCCTCCTTTTCACGTCCTTATCCTTTGAGAGGTTGTCTAGTCCGACTGCATTGGCAATCTCGTCTTGTAGTTCACAGAAGCTAAACTCTTGAGGTACAGTGACCCAAAACACGTCATTGAAGGCAGAATTCTCAAGTATTCTATTATGGACATGCATTAAAATGGCTGTCTTGCCAACTCCTCCCATTCCATAAACACCAATGATGAAAATTTCATCCTCCATTAAATAGTCACAAATCTCTTCAATTGTCTGCTCACTTTTTTTGCCTACTAGCTTTGTTGTTACCAAAGGTGAACTTTTCCTACATCTCCCGGCATGTGTTGTCAACCCTTTTTGGAAGCTATAGTGGCCTAGAATCTCTTCAACTTCTTTGATCAAGTCGTCCACTCTTTCTACCTGCTGCACAAAAACAGATTTTCCTTCTCGGAATGCTCGGACCACACCCCAGTCATTTATCCTTTTTGATTTCCTAGACCGTGTCTCCAACTCATCCAAGTCTGCTACTCGGCTGCTTAGTTCTTCCAGCTTTCTTTTCAGAGTTGGCATATATTCGCCAACAAGCCCAAAAGAACCTGGTCGACTATCAACGAGTGCATCATCTATCCTCGCATCTAACATCAAGGAAATACTTATATTATTTTATACAAACATAATATTCACAAAACAAATTGAATTTATGAGAAGAAGAAACCATCAATTATGTCTAAATGAAATTAGATAAACAATATGAGTGTAAAAAAAGGATCAAAGTTTCAAGGAAGGCGGGGTATTTGGGGTTGAGCACTTGCCTTGTTCCTGGGCTTGGTCTCTTAATGGGTTGATGAGAGGGTATAGTTTAGGTACGTTGGGTTTAGATTCTACTTTGGGTTTTGGGTCTGCTGGGTTTAGTTGCTGTAGGTTTGGGTTGAGCCTTTTGGCTCTTGGGGTGTCTATTGGATGGGTTGAACTGATATTTGAGCCTGTATAGGATGGGTTGAATTGATATTTAGGCCTGTATGGGAAGTGGTTCTCCCTATATTTTATATTAATATACAAATATGAAAATTGAAGCATTTATTTTAGCATAAATTAATCGTTTCAATACTTTGAACAAAATAAACTACATTACTGTAATATTGAGAGAAAATAATAAAATCTTTCAAAGAAATACTTTATAGGAAGAGTTACGAAAAATGTTAGAATTTTCAATAAGTAATAATTTGCAACATTTAAAATTATTAAACCAATCTTTTTTTGCTGGATGAAACTCATGGTATGGAATGGGGCAAGTAATCCAAGTTGACGGCAAAATGAGTCGAGAGTGCAAGAAAAAACTACTTGCAAAGAGAATAATCAATCTCTTGCAATTTAGACTCCTATGTGTCTCGACCAAAAAAAAAAAAAAAGACTCCTGTGTGTCACTCTTATAGGCAACCCTCAAAAAAGAGCTTGTTATTATATATTTATGTAGATGCTAACATTTATGTACCTATTCTTTCAAAAAGTTCGAAAACTACAATACTAGAAAATTTTAGATCAATCCCATGAGTTAAAAGTAGAAGTTAAAAATAAGAGTTCCCGTAACTAGACCCTAAGTTGAATTTTGAAATTAAAATTGAAAAAAAAAGAGATATACCTCGTTTCCACATCTAATGTACATAGACTAATGCCCTAACACTGTCCTATTAAAAAAAGAGCTATACTTGCTTTCAATTTGATCACTCACACGTGACGGTAACTAATAGCACTGAGAAAAACTAAACCACACATTATTGATGGCTTGGAGGCAATGAATGGCAGTCTCTCGTCCCATTATCGTACTTTAGTTAGTGTCCCAACAATTCCAGCCATACTAATTCAAAAATATGAAAACAAGTAATATTCATATAACCTAAATTTAAGATGATTGATGGTGTTGTTAGTTGAAGTCTCATATAGGTGGCATTTGAATGTGAAATCAATCAATTAAAGGATGATTTGGAGATGAGTATGAATCATTGAAAGACCAAATGATTTATTATACGCGATCCGAAAATAGTTATATGTGTGCAAGTGCTATATCTTGTGGACACATATTTAACAAATGTGGAATATTTCTTAGATGGATGTGCTTGTGTCATTTGGATAGCATGGGAGTTGAACTTAGCTCTGCCATCATTCATTATAATACAAAATAAGAAGTCTTATCTTATAAAGCCTACAAACATAGACTTACGTTGGTTGTTCTCTAATCATATGAGAAATAACTAGCAAATTATTAACGAATCTTGCCTACAATAACTGTCTACTTCCCCTTTTTTTCTCCCTCAAGCGATAACCACCACTTTCCCAAACTAAGTAGCTGCAAATCTCATTTTTAAAAACCACCTTGTTAGGGCTTTCCTTTTCTCTAATAATCATTATTTTGCATTTCACATAGGAAAAGGCTTAGCTGACTGCGGTACAATCTTGACCCCATATTTTTCCAAGGAAAAACCCTACTCGGTCATAAATAATTTTTTTTTGACAAAGTAAGTTAAAAGGGAAAAAAAGAAACATAAAATTATAAATGACCAAATATTCATTTGATTTAATACTTGTATTACGAACTGTTCCAATGTGAAGAGAAAAAGTTCTTTTTACTGAAAATTTATGAAATATTGTCAATCTGTCATGTTCAAGTTAACCACATCATATTATGTCGTGTTCAATTTAGGTTCGGATTTCTCAATAAATTTATATTGTATTCGAGTCATTTTTTGAATTGTACTAGAAATTGTGATCCTCATTATGAAACACTTTGTATTCATTTCACTTTATGCACCTCATTGTAATTTAATTTCTCTTTTCTATTTAGTATCAAAATCCAAATCGAGAGCGAAGTAAAAAAGGAGGCTAGCTTGGATTTTAGTGTGCAATTAAGCGATTCCGCACTTCATATCAACAAAAATTCACTAGCAAAAGGAAAAAGTATAGGGGAAGGACTAACGCAATTATTTGATATAAAAAAGATAGAGAGATGATTTTGATTTTCAAACAAAAATAGATCTGCCACCGTTAATGTTATTCCTTTAATAAAATAAAAAGACAATCTTTATTCCACTTTTTCTCACATCCGGTTGCCCACCTCTCTTAAATTGAAACCTGTGGTCAATATGCCACCGTTAGAAAATTACTATAACTGCGCCGTCCTCCTAGCAGGACTCTTCCACGATTTGAAAGAGAGAGCATGGCCTTTCAAGATCTGAATGTAACCCGTCAAATCATATTGCTGTTCATTTTCTAAGAACCAGTAGTTATCATTGACCCGACTCCTATCAAATTCCTCTCTTCCAATTAATTCCTGTCTATTTTGGGTTCTCTATTATTAGTAGAAATTTATGCGTCCTGCCTATATCCCTATTCTTAGCTATGGATTAGAAGACGAATTAAGCGTCTTGCATGAGCTTTAACATATGATGAATTTGGAGATGCCCATACCTTGTGGAACCTCTGTATTGGGTTCTCCCTCTTCTGCGTTCACTGGGCGTGGCATGTTAGTCAAAGCTTCAGGTGCGAGATCTGGACGGCTGCTAGGATAACTAAAATTCCACGGCTGAATGGAAGAATCACCAGCTTGAGATTGAGGTTGTTGTGGCGAGAATGGAAATTCGCCCCACGGGATCATGTTTTGAGCCGGAAGAGACTGACTGGGCAAATTTGTCTCAAGCAATGGAAGAAAGGCTGATGAACTTGCACCTACAGTGCTTGTGACATCAGACCTCGGGTCCGGCATGGCAGCAAATGAAGTCTCTCTCCGAGCATCTTCATTGTTCGCAGTCACAGGCAGATGCGGACCCTCTTCAACATTGCCCTCTGCTCCATTGCTCGGCTCTGCCGCTCCTTTACCCTTCAACGCATTTCTGGCTTCCGATCTCACTCGGCCGTCGACGTCCTTGCAGTCATTGATCCCATATCCTGCGACTCCGGCTAAGTGGGCCTTGATCCTGGTCACACTTCCGCGATACTCCTTGCTGCAGAAGTTACACTTCCACTTGTTGTTCTGCAGGAACTCCACATGATCCCGGAAGGAGTCCTTCTCTCTGGGCATTTTCTTAGAGTATCCCTCAAAAGAATGAGCAGATACGTTTCAAGGAAGACCTTAGATCTTTTTGTGGTGAAGAATGGTGCGGGAGCCTGTAAGATATATAATGAATTTTGGACTTGGGAATAGGGTGAAAGTCTTCGTCAATCCCCAATTCTTTTAGAAAGAAGGCCCCGCTTCAGTGACCCCACCCCCATTTCTAGCCAACTTCTCTTTTCACTTTCGGATACGAAGAAAACATGTTTGGTTCAACCATGCACAGGGTAAAACCATCCAGTTTACACGCATCGAGTATGGCTTTGACAGGCAGCTTTGAAAGGTGGTTAGAGTTGGGATTCGCGACGTGGCTCAGACATGGACCTATAACATCTCTGACGAAGCGGTTGACCGACCACTCAGAAAATTATGGAAGTTATTTATGATAAAGCGCAAAAAAGTCTTCGCTCACCGGAAACATTGAATAAAAGTGATCGTCTAGAAAAAATATTTATGTTCTTTTGTTTCCAGAATCAGTTTGAGAACAGAAATCTATTTGCTAAAATTTTTATGTTGAGGCACAAATTTACAAAAAATTATTCCCAAAATCAATTTTAGAACAGAATTAAAAAGCCAAAAAAAAATAGTTTCTTAATTCTGGGAACAATTTTTCCATTTCTGATTCTTCTTCTTTCTTCTTTTGTTTGTTGTTCTTCTTCTTCTCGACCTGCCGCCGGCCATTGGCGACTGACTACAGGCCAGGGCCGGCGAGGGCGAAATGTGTTTAATTTCAACGTCTTTAATTTCAACATATAATTTTAATGATCGAAATGTGTTTGCAAATAATGGATTTAGGATTGAAATTAACGTCTTTTATTTCAACACATAAAGAGCAAAGACTTTTAAAGTGATCGTCTAAGTCAAAGTCTGCATCAACTATGTGGCCAGCCCTCTAGAAAGATTCTTTCTATCTAAAAGATAAATTAACGTCTTTAATTTCAACACATAATTTCAATGATCAAAATGTTTTTGCACACGATGGATTTAGAATTCAAATTATGGCCATTTTTCTCCCTTCCTCCTCAGTTTTATGAAACGAGGTAGTTTCATAGGATTCTACTTGTTTGCTCGGTGGGTTCTTTTTGTACCCTCTTATCTCACATCAATGACAAGGCCACTAGACATCGGCCTATGGTTGAGCGGCATTGATCCCCTATTTTACTCTCTAATGGACAATTAATTGGTAGCAAAAAAATAAAATAATAATAGTAATTTACTTGTGAGAGAAGGTTCATTCACCGCCATACTTAATCTAACTAGGAGGTATTAAAGCCTGCGAATCACAGGTGATGGCTAAATTCAGGCACAATTGCGATAATTTTTCATATCGAGACAGATATTTTAATTTTCAGGATGATAAAATATTAAAATGGATAATTATTGTGGCAAAATGCTTTCGAAATGACCTAAAAAAAGTTGCCTGTTTCACAATGCATACCTATTAGAACAAACAAGCTGTGAATTAGTCATGTCCACAGATTGAGGAAATGGTTTTGAGATGTATCAGAGTAGCTTGCACGGCCATGGGTTGAGGAAATGTACCCGTCTCTAGCCAGTAGCTATTCTCTTATTCATGTATTGATCTCAAGAGAAGGATTTCTATAATCACTAAGGCTGGCAACCGGCGGAAGGAAATAAGGAAAAAAGAAAAAAGAGAAAGGAAACGTAAAAAAAGGGAAAGAAAAAAAGAAAAAAGGAAAAAAATTCAGAAAATTTTAAAAAGAATTACCAAAATTGTCAACTTTAGTGTCGCCCATACCACGTAGGATAACTGACACAACTTAAATCGCCACGTCAGCAATTTCAGGCCAAAATTAGTCGGGAGAACTAAATTGACAAATCGTAAAAAGATTAGGACTAAATTAGTAAATCGTCTTAGGATTGAATTAACCAAAATTAAAAAATTTAGAATTGAATTGGCACAAATACAATAAGTTTAGGACTTTTTTTTTTGGTTAATTTCCCCTGCAAGTTCCTTCACACTAGCAACCAAAACATCACAGCTACTCAAAGAAAATAGTATCCCATATTGATATTATCGGGGATAATCCCATACGATTGTTGGCGCAATCACTAGAAGTAGTATATATTGGAGGATTAGGAACATGATGATCTCGAAGAAACGAACTCAACCATACTCATCTTCTTCTGTTATCTAAATTTTTCATTCTTTATGAGGTGATATTCGTTGTTCGTGGTTTATGGCTGAACGTATTTACTTTAAATCCGCTCCACTTGTTATTATATAAAAATATCATTTGAGACTTCATTTCGTTCATCGTCAGTGAAATATACATTTTTCTCCCTTAATTTGAAGGGAAATTTGGGGTCCGAAGGGGGGCAGGGGCCACCACTAGCCCCCAGGGGCCCTGCACCTCCTAGGTCTGTCAATGCCCCTAGATATTTTTGCCGACCATATTTATTAAGCAGGTGGAAACCGATGTGTTTGGAAAAGTAGATACAATAATATGATTCACCCAAAAAAATCCTCAACTTTACGTCAAGTCTCAAATTTATTTCGAACTTCTCGAATTTTATTTTGCGTAAAAAAAATCATCAAAATTTAATTTATTTTTAAAAATATATCACAGTGATCCAATCTTAACTTGATGTGGTACTTCCACGTCGATAACAAATTCACATTAGCAAAGTAATAGAGCGATAGGTACAGACTAACGTTGCATTTTCACTTCGATAACAAATCCAACCCAATAAAAATTGTTAAAATTCTCTAAAATAAAACCGTTCTAGGATATGAAAATTAGGTACGATAACAAATTCACTCCAAATTTTTTTTTTAATTTAAAGAAAACCCAATTTTTAGGTTTAATTTAAATTTTTTTCGAACTTTTCTTTATCTAAAAAAAGTCTTATTATTTTATTGACGTAAATTTATTACCGACGTGGTAGTGCCATGAATAAAAGCACCTTTTGATAAAGAACGAAAGGAGCAGGAAAATGGGGAGACGTTGATGGTGGTCCGCTGAGTTCCGTGTGGAATAAAATATAGTTACTGGTGAGAACAGAATAAAGATTTACAAGGGTACAAGTCAAAGTTGGCGGCGGCAACTTTATGCACAGCCCTATCTAAAGATAAATTGACATCTTTAATTTACTTTTCTTTATAGAAAAAAGGACATTGCAAAACACAATTTCTTTCAATGATTAAAATATGTTTGCACAATGAATTTAGGATCAAATGGACCATTTTCCTCCCTTCCTCCTCAGTTTTATGAAACTAGGTATCTGCTTGGGGGGTTACTTTCGTCCCTCCACAAACCACAAGTATTTATTTATAGTCAATGATCGAGTTGGCAAGCACTTAGCCAGTGGTCAGTGCATGACACGCAGTTTTCTCTAAAATCTACTTGGAAACTAAGAACAACATTTCATGAATATGAATAATAAAAGTATATAAGCAAGACTAGGATAGAAGCTTCACAAAGGAAATGTCCAATTTTGGAGTCGAAGCGAGAAGTTACATAGGAAAAACACTAACGAAATAAAACCTCTGATTTTTAACGTGACACCTATCCAACTTTAGAGCTCAACTAAAAGGAGACATCTTTTGAAAGTTATATCAATTGTATATTTTCGTAGGATATTACATGTATATTGGCTGACAAGACTGAATGTTTTGTAATTATGCCTATTCCAAATTTCTGATTATCATTCAAGCCGACGGGATCAAGCCTAGTTAAATGGGGTCAACCCGATCCTACCAGTGAATTGCAAGAGTAGTGTTTAGAAATACTAAGATTTGGCTAGTAATTAATTTACTTAGTGATGTAAAAATCCATAAGTAATTATTTTCGTTGGCAAAATTTTTTGACCACTCAATAGAAAATCTATCACTCTACTTAGCAAACAAATTCGGTCGACTAGTGTTAGTATGCCTAGATTATCAGAATTCTTTCAAAGATATTTCTAACTATTCAAAAAATTTCAATTAGGATTCAAGCACAAGGGTAAAAAAAAAAGATTCTTCATATGCGATTGACCCGAAGCAACCCGGAAATTCCAAATTGGATTGACCCAATTTTTTTTGCGTGTTTGGGTAAAATGTCCACCCATACCTTATTTTTCCACAACGAATTTTAAGATATGCTTTTTGGCAAAAATGTGAATCCCAAACCTGATAACCCGCCTGTCGTCTCATCCTTCCTCGCTATATTAAGCAAAAGCACATCTGTAAATCTTATGATTTCTTATGCATGTCTTTAGAAAGTTGGGTAATATTCTACAAAAATGAGTGGGATTTTGATTGTTTTTCTTTATAGAAGGCAATTCCTCGCTGTCACTGCGTGCTCTCTCTCTCTCTATCGGAAGCCCACAATCGTGCACTGCGAATGGCGAATTTCTCTCGACTTTTTTTCACAAAGAGAGAGAGAGAGAGAGAAAGTTAGGGCGTAGGAGAAGGAATCGGCATCATTTCCTTTTCATTTCCACCCTTTTTTTTTGTTAATGGGAATTCGCGAACTTGTGTGGGATTCGACTGATGCTTTTGTGTGATTTCGGTGATCATTTGCCCTCGCGTCGATGGAAGCAAAGCACTTGGAGCCGCCACGTCAGCAAGACGGCATCATTTTCGCGTCACTCGCCGGGAGAATGTTGCCACGTCGGACCGAGTGCGCGTTGATGGGACTGCCCACTCGCGACTTTGTATACTTCCTTATTCAAGTGAGGTCACTAATAGCCGATACAATACGATTTTCATCCTTTAATCCTTTTTAATTTCAAAATTTTTTTCTTTTAATGTAAAGCAACTCTTAAAGCGGCCTCCAATTTCCCATTACCATGAAAAAAAAGTTGTTTGTCAAAAATTTAAGATGACTTTTAGAATGATGCTTTTTATACAATTCTTAAAGCTTAAGCAAATTTGAATTCTAGAAGCTTAAATAATCGAAAGGAAAAGTCAAAAGTCGAGCAAGTAGCACAATCCTCCTTCCTCTTTGCGAGTGGGGCGCGCTCTCTCTCTCTCTAGCTTGCTTTACTTTCTGTTCCCCTGTTTTCTTCAGCCTGACTGAGCTCATTAAACAACCAAATCTTGAGCAACAAGAGAATGTGAAAGCTCAGGCATAGTTAATGCCTTAACTACCAATTAAACTTGCCACATAATATAAACAAGAAGTTATCATTGATGACCAGATCATTCCCCTATTGAAAAGAGTATTCACCATCTTTGGTAGGTGATGAATAATGCAAACCAATACTTGGAAGTAACTTCTGATTTGTATGACACCCCATAATTTGCGTATTTATATATGGGTTTACTTGCTTTTTTGCTAGGCAATCCACATGAAACTTGCTAGATAAGAAAAAAGCCAATGACTTGCTCAGAGTCCCAGATTTACTCACTTACAGTACTCAAATTTTCATATTTTTCTGAGCTTACACAGTCCTGATATTAAGCAGCGTCCATAGCCTTAGAAACAAGCTTAGAAGCTGAGAGAGAGAGAGAGAGAGTATAACATTCACTATTCCTAAGACCTGATACATCAAATTGGATGACAGAGCAACAAGAGATCTAGGTGCAACTCTTCTGGAGATGCCCTCGAAAGTCCGCATTAACTTCCCCTTGTAGGTCACTATAAGCTGTTGACCATGAAAAAGACATCTTGCTTCATATCTACGCGCTTGATGCCGTCACAAGGTATAGCGGTGTTGAAAACCGCAGATTGAAATGGCAACCTAAACCTGTAAACTGGAAATCCGATGAGAACCGAAGATTGGACTGGATATCATGAAAAAGATTGGATTGACATCTCAACCACAGCAAAGAAGAGGCTAGCCACGACATAACCAAGACCCCAGCAAACCTGCAATGCAGCAAGCAGATTTTAAGATACGCTTTTTGGCAGAAATGAATCCCAGACCCGATAACCTGCCGGGTGTATCATCCTCACTATATTAAGCAAAACCACATCTGTAAATCTTGTGATTTCTTATGTATGTCTTAGAAAGTTGGGTACTATTCTACAAAAATGTGTGGGATTTTGATCATTTTTCTTTATAGACGGGTTAACCACTAAAAAGATCCTGACTTCTGGGTTATGGCCATCAAGTTAGCCCGATTGGGCCACACAATCAAAATCCCACACATTTTTGTAGAAACACAACATGCGCGTCAGAAAACTAAACTTTTCATTGCGTCCTCTTTGAGTATGTTTGGTCGAAAGGTGGTGATCAACTTCCTACGTTTTCTTCTAATTGTGTTTCATCACATGTTGGCTGTCTAGTGTAACGTCTTGTATGAATCAGCGGCTGGCGCATTAGCATTGCATTGTATTACAGTGATCCATGAGCGTTCTTTCCATATGGGAAGGAAGTAGGAAAACAAGGATAAGATAATGTAGTTTAAAGTCAATGGTTTAGAATTATTTGGCATTAACTTGTCCAGCAAATGAAACTTTTCGCAAACCATCCGACCATGCCAAGCTGTGTCTCTGATTTTGGCAATCCATACTCTTTTAAGTGTATTTCCATAAGTTAGTGTATTTGGATCTCAGACACATTCTTTTAATTGGAGCTTGTATGGTCCTTTTACGGGGCTGATCCTTCAGTCACAATCCTATTGCAATCACGAACTATCTTTCATAAGTCTTATAGAAAGTATCAATAAAACTGAAAAATTTTCAATCATGTACTTTTATATCATAATTCGAGGTACGCCAACTCTCCCAGGAATGGTGCCACGGAGGGATTATAGCACACACGCTCTATTCTTTCTTTTTCACTTAGAATTCTGCAGTTTATAACTTCGGTTTATTAGTACCACTTTCATAATCCTAGAAATGTGGTAGGAAACTAACAACGTTTTAACCGGTCATGTTGGCCCGGATAAATGGTCATCCTAAAATTTTCTATTGAATCCGATCTGAACTCAGTCCATACTTGCCAGTAACCAGGAATTCAAGCTCCAACCTGATTAACGGAGCAGCTTAGAAGCACCAACAATTAGAGAGCATCGGCATACTCGTCCGACGCTAATTTCCTAAAAAATCTTCCATCCCAGGTCAACAATTGCGTGCAATAGCTCAGCGCGGTCCGCTTTCGAAATGCTTCCTGTAGCTGCGACGAATCTGCCCGATATCGTCTTCCACTTGACTTCCATAATGGATTTCTTAATCAACGACCAAGAACAGGAAAACAAGGATAAGATAATGTAGTTTAATGAAACTTTGACTGTGTGCTCTTTTTGCACATCCCCTTTTTAGGTGACGTGATGAAGTTTCTCGCTGCATGTGAACAGACTTTTCTTTGTCAACACGGTGGGAATTCGGTCAAGGACCGAAACTTCGCTGATGGAGCTTCAAACTAGAATAATGACCCCTTAGAAAGACGGAAAGAAGGAACCCAATTAGTCTCAAAGTTCACAATTTTATATTTAAGCTCGTTGATGAGTGCGTTTTGATCACTAATTTATGGTTCGATAACATTGGAAATTAATATGTAGTCATTTGACATGTCCAAAAGCATTTAAACAGGACCTCAAAAGGAACTGGTTTTAATGTTGTCCGGATGGCAAGATGGTTGGAACAGACTGCATTCCACCTCCAGGCTTCAGTTGGAAGACTCTGATGCAAACGGCAGTTTGGGTTCTCTGTCCACCCTAGAAAAGTGCGCAATGAAGACAGAAGTCACGGTGTTGATTGATGCTGTGGACTATGAAGCAATCCATGTGGTCGCCTTTACAATAGATAAGATCATGAGAAATCCGTGAGTTGCTAGTCAAAGTAATGAGCTTTAGTTAACGTATCATTGTCAGATGTAATCTTACCAATCATCCTCCCTCTCATTTCCGCTACTGTTAGTCAAATGCTGATGTTTGATGCTGAAAACGCAGAATTTTGTCCAATCAAAAAACCATTCACCAAGTCTACACTTCTCATATTTTTCGTCTATAATTACATTAATTACCGCAAATAGCAGTCCCTTTATCCCTCCAAAAACACACCTTGAACCATGAACACCCGAAAGATGGATGTCCGGTGTGTTTTGCTTGCCACAGGAAGCTTGGTTTTGTGCTTCTCAGGCTTCGCGGCCGCAGTTGACACTGTCGATGCATCTCAACCGTTAAGTGATGGTGAGACAATAGCTTCGAGTGGGGGAACTTTTGAACTGGGGTTTTTCAGTCCAGGCAGTTCGAGGGGCCGTTACTTGGGAATTTGGTACAAGAACATCCCACTTAGAACTGTTGTTTGGGTTGCAAATAGAAGTAATCCAATTAACGGCTCTAGCGGCACGCTGATGATGAATAGCACAGGCAATATAGTCCTCCTAAGCCACAACAGCAGTGTCGTTTGGTCTGCGAACACTACCGAACAGGCCGAGAATCCAGTTCTACAGCTCTTAGATAATGGAAATCTTGTGCTGAGAGATGGCAAGAATGACAGTTTGGATACTCATTTGTGGCAAAGCTTCGATTACCCTACCAACACTTTTTTGCCAGAAATGAAGCTTGGATGGGACTTGAAGACCGGTCTCAATCGGCAATTATCTTCCTGGAAGAGTCCAGATGACCCGTCCCCAGGAGATTTCACTTGGGGGATGGCCAACCGTAATTTCCCTGACATCGTAGCATGGAAGGGCTCCAACAAGTACTTCAGGACCGGACCATGGAATGGCCTTCGTTTTAGCGGCGCGCCGCAACAAGGGTCCAATTCCATTTTCTGGTATAATTTCGTATCCAATGCAGAAGAAATTTACTATATGTATCATAACACCAACAAATCTGTGCTCGTAAGGACTGTGTTGAATCAAACAAATTACTTGTGGGAGCGGTCCGCGTGGAGCGAAGCGACTCAAGGCTGGAGGCTCTTCCTCACTGTTCCAAAGGACTACTGCGACACCTATGGCTTTTGCGGTGCCTACAGCAAATGCATAACTAACCAGCTTCCATATTGCCAATGCTTAAAAGGTTTCACACCCGAAAATCAGGATCAATGGAACTCCACTGACTGGTCACAAGGATGTGTTCGGAATGAGCCTCTGAACTGCAGCATCAGTGATGGATTCATAAAGTATCCTAACATGAAATTGCCGGACACTACTCATTGTTTAGTGGATAGTACCTTGAGCCTCGACGATTGCCGGACCAAATGCTTGGACAACTGTTCATGTACAGCATATGCAAACTCAGATATCCGAGGACGAGGAAGCGGATGTGCAATGTGGTTCGGTGATCTGATAGATATGAGACAGTATCCAGATGCTGGGCAGGTTCTATATTTGCGGATGCCAGCTTCTGAAATAGGTACTATCTTGTTTTGGCATCTCTTAGAAAAGTAGATCTTGTACTAGATTTCCGTTTCATCTATCATTCTTTTTTCCTTTCAAATGTGAGCACACACCCTTCAATAATTACTCATCATATTTGACATTTATATGTTTTTTATGCGAACTTTTCAATTGAGCAGGGAAGAGTAATTCCAAGGTGTGGATAGTTCTGGTAGTTGTATTAGCAATTGCCATGGCTATTGCCATGCTAGTCGCCATCTGTTATGCCGGCAGAAGAAGGAAAAACTTCGGAGGTACATCTTTCTTCTCATGACTCTCCTCACAATACTTAGTTTTCATGCCAAAGAGAAAATTTGTGGTCAAGGAAAAGAGAAAAGAACATCGAAAATTATTACTCAGAATTTGATAACTAAAAATTTGGCATAGTCAGAGAGTTGCATTATACCGCAGAAAATAGTTTGTTCACTTGTTTGATCAGAAGTGGGACTTACAGTGCTTCCCTGCCTTCTTTTTACTTGAGCTAAGTATCTCCGATTTTCCATTTTAGAGATAGCAGAAAATATATCTGAAGGTCAAGAGAGTGAACACCCTGATGATGACTTGGACCTCCCATTATTCGACCTACACGCAATTGCTGAGTCCACAAACAATTTTTCGATGAGGAACAAGCTAGGTGAAGGCGGTTTTGGACCTGTATACAAGGTAAAACAAATTTTGGAGTGTACTATCTGAAACATAGCACAATTCCTGCTATTAGAATTGACTCTTCCCATTGTTATTTTTTTCCAGGGTATACTTGTAGATGGACGAGAAATCGCTGTGAAGAGACTTTCAAGTAGCTCTAGGCAAGGACTGAGGGAGTTCAAGAATGAGGTCATACTAATTGCGAAACTTCAGCACCGAAATCTAGTAAAGCTTCTTGGTTGTTGCATTCAGGGAGACGAAAAAATGCTGATCTATGAATACATGCCCAACAAAAGCTTGGATGCCTTTATTTTTGGTAAACTAGTTGATTCATGTCGGGTTTAGATACAAAATGTAGCTATTGCCTGGAAAAGAAAAGTTTATGATACATGGGACTGACTTGACTCAAACTCGACAGATAAAGAGAGAAGTAAGTTATTGGATTGGCCCAAGCGGTTCAATATTATCTGCGGTGTCGCTAGGGGCCTACTTTATCTTCATCAAGATTCGAGGTTGAGGATAATCCACCGGGATCTCAAAGCGAGTAATGTCCTTCTTGACAACGAGATGAATCCAAAAATTTCAGATTTTGGCATGGCTAGGATATTTGGAGGAGACGAGACAGAAGGAAATACCAACAGAGTGGTTGGGACATAGTAAGTATCTTGCAGTATTCTATGCAGAGAGTGAAGAGGGTGGTGCTGATTCCCTTTTAATGCATGTTCTGATATTTTCTTCTGTTTCTCAGTGGCTATATGGCACCCGAATATGCCATCGATGGGCTATTTTCAGTTAAATCGGATGTGTTCAGCTTTGGCATTTTGGTCCTCGAAACTCTAAGTGGAAAAAGGAACAGGGGATTATATCATTCGAACCAGTCTGGTCGGCCATGTGAGTAATTTATCCAGAAGCTGTGAGAGAGAGAGAGAGAGAGAGAGAGAGAGAGAGTATAACCTTCACTATTCCTAAGACCTGATACATCAAAATGGATGACAGAGCAACAAGAGATCTAGGTGCAACTCTTCTGGAGATGCCCTCGAAAGTCCGCATTAACTTCCCCTTGTAGGTCACTATAAGCTGTTGACCATGAAAAAGACATCTTGCTTCATATTTACGCGCTTGATGCCGTCACAAGGTATAGCGGTGTTGAAAACCGCAGATTGAAATGGCAACCTAAACCTGTAAATTGGAAATACGATGAGAACCGAAGATTGGACTGGATATCATGAAAAAGACTGGATTGACATCTCAACCACAGCAAAGAAGAGGCTAGCCACGACATAACCAAGGCCCCGGCAAACCTGCAATGCAGCAAGCAGATTTTAAGATACGCTTTTTGGCAGAAATGAATCCCGGACCCGATAACCTGCCGGGTGTCTCATCCTTACTATATTAAGGAAAACCACATCTGTAAATCCTGTGATTTCTTATGTATGTCTTAGAAAGTTGGGTAATATTCTACAGAAATGTGTGGGATTTTGATCGTTTTTCTTTATAGACAGGTTAACCACTTAAAAGATCCTGACTTCTGGGTTCTGGCCATCAAGTTAGCCCGATTGGGCCACACAATCAAAATCCCACACATTTTTGTAGAAACACAACATGCGTATAAGAAAACTAAACTTTTCATGACGTCCTCTTTGAGTATGTTTCGTCGAAAGGTGGTGATCAACTTCCTACGTTTTCTTCTAATTTTGTTTCATCACATGTTGGCTGTCTAGTGTAGCGTCTTGTATGAATCAGCGGCTGGCGCATTAGCATTGCATTGTATTACAGTGATCCATGAGCGTTCTTTCCATATGGGAAGGAAGTAGGAAAACAAGGATAAGATAATGTAGTTTAAAGTCAATGGTTTAGAATTATTTGCAATTAACTTGTCCATCAAATGAAATTTTTCGCAAGCCATCCGACCATGCCATGCTGTGTTTCTGATTTTGGCAATCCATACTCTTTTAAGTGTATTTCCATAAGTTAGTGTATTTGGATCTCAGACACTTTCTTTTAATTGGAGCTTGTATGGTCCTTTTATGGGGCTGATCCTTCAGTCACAATCCCATTGCAATCACGTACTTTCTGTCATAAGTCTTATAGAAAGTATCAATAAAACTGAAAAATTTTCCATCACATACTTTTGTATCATAATTCGATGCACGCCAACTCTCCCAGGAACGGTGCCACAGAGGGATTATAGCACACACGCTCTATTCCTTCTTTTTCACTTAGAATTCGACAGTTTGTAACTTCGGTTTATTAGTACCACTTTTATAATCCTAGAAATGTGGTAGGAAACTAACAACGTTTTAACTGGTCATGTTGACCCGGATAAATGGTCATCCTAAAATGTTCTATTGAATCCGATCTGAACTCAGTCCATACTGGCCCAGTAACCAGGAATTCAAGCTCCACCCTGATTAACGGAGCAGCATAGAAGCACCAACAAATTGAGAGCATCGGCATAACCCGTCCGACGCTAATTTCCTAAAAAATCTTCCATCCGAGGTCAACAATTGCGTGCAATAGCTCAACGCGGTCCGCTTTCGAAATGCTTCCTGTAGCTGCGACCAATCTGCCCGATATCGTCTTCCACTCGACTTCCATAATGGATTTCTCAATCAATGACCAAGAACAGGAAAACAAGGATAAGATAATGTAGTTTAATGAAACTTTGACTGAGTGCTCTTTTTGCACGTCTCCTTTTTTGGTGACGTGATGAAGTTTCTCGCTGCATGTGAACAGACTTTTCTTTGTCAACGCGGTGGGAATTCGGTCAAGGACCGGACCTTCGCTGATGGAGCTTCAAACTAGAATAATGACCCCTTAGAAAGACGGAAAGAAGGAACCCAATTAGTCTCAAAGTTCACAATTTTATATTTAAGCTCGTTGATGAGTGCGTTTTGATCACTAATTTAGGGTTCGATAACATTGGAAATTAATATCTAGTCATTTGACACGTCCAAAAGCATGTAAACAAGACCTTAAAAGGAGCTACTTTTAATGTTGTCCGGATGGCAAGATGGTTGGAGCAGACTGCATTCCATCACCAGGCTTCAGTTGGAAGACTCTGATGCAAAAGGCGGTTTGGGTTCTCTGTCCACCCCAGAGAAAATGCGCAATGAAGACTGAAGTCACGGGGTCGATTGATGCTATGGACTATGAAGTGGTCCATATAGTTGCCTTTACAATAGATAAGATAATGGGAAATCCGTGATTTGCTAGTCAAAGTAATGAACTTTAGTTAACGTTTCATTGTCAGATAAACATCTTACCAGTCATCCTCCCTCTTATTTCCGCTACTGTTAGTCAAATGCTGCCGTTTAATGCTGAAAACGCAGAATATAGTCCAATTAAAAAACCATTCACCAAGTCTACACTTCTCATATTTTTCGCCTATAATTACGTTAATTACCGCAAATAGAAGTCCCTTTATCCCTCCAAAAACACACCTTAAACCTTGAACACCCGAAAGATGAATGTCCTGTGTCCTTTGCTTGTCACAGGAAGCTTGGTTTTGTGCTTCTCAGGCTTCGCGGCCGCAGTTGACACTATCGATGTATCTCAACCGTTAAGTGATAGTGAGACAATAGCTTCGAGTGTGGGAACTTTTGAACTAGGGTTCTTCAGTCCAGGCAGTTCGAGGGGCCGTTACTAGGGAATTTGGTACAAGAACATCCCACTTAGAACTGTTGTTTGGGTTGCAAATAGAAGCAGTCCAATTAATGACTCTAGCGGCACGCTGATGATCAATAGCACAGGCAGTATAGTCCTCCTAAGCCACAACAGCAGTGTTGTTTGGTCCGTGAACACTATCGAACAGGCTGAGAATCCAGTTCTACAGCTCTTAGATAATGGAATTCTTGTGCCGAGAGATGGCAAGAATGACAGTTTGAATACTCATTTGGGGCAAAGCTTCGAGTACCCTACCGACACTTTTTTGACAGAAATGAAGCTTGGATGGGACTTCATGACCGGTCTCGATCGGCAATTATCTACCTGTAAGAGTCCAGATGACCCGTCTCCGGGAGATTTCTCATTTGGGGATGGCCAACTGTAATTTCCCTGACATCGTAGCATGGAAGGGCTCCGACAAGTACTTCAGGACCGGACCATGGAATGGCCTTCGGTTTAGAGGCGCGCTGCAACAAGGGTCCAATTCCATTTTCTGGTATAATTTTGTATCCGATGCAGAAGAAATTTACTATATGTATCATAACACCAACAAATCTGTGCTCGTAAGGACTGTCTTGAATCAAATAGACTACTTGTGGGAGCGGTCCATGTGGAGCGAAGCGACTCAAAGCTGGAGGCTCTTCCTCACTGTTCCAAAGGACTACTGCAACACCTATGACATTTGCGGTGCCTACAGCAAATGCATAACTAACCAGCTGCCGTATTGCCAGTGCTTAAAAGGATTCACAACCCAAAATCCGGATCAATGGAACTCCACTGACCGGTCGCAAGGATGTGTTCAGAATGAGCCTCTGAACTGCATCATCAGCGATGGATTCATAAAGTATCCTAACATGAAATTGGATAGTACCTTGAGCCTTGACGATTGCTGGACCAAATGCTTGAACAACTGTTCATGTACAGCATATGCAAACTCAGATATCAGAGGACGAGCAAGTGGATGTGCAATGTGGTTCGGTGATCTGATAGCTATGAGACAGTATCCAGATGCTGGGCAGGTTCCATATTTGCGGATGCCAGCTTCAGAAATAGGTACTATCTTGTTTTGGCATCTCTTAGAAAAGTAGATCTTGCACTAGATTTCCGTTTCATCTATCATTATTTTTCCTATCAAATGTGAGCACATACCTTTCAATAGTCACCCGTCATATTTGGCATTTTTATGTTTTTTATGCTAACTTTTCAATTGAACAGGGAAGAGTAAGTCCAAGGTGTGGATAGTTCTGGTAGTTGTATTAGCAATTGCCATAACTACTGCCATGCTAGTCGCCATCTGTTATGCACGCAGAAGAAGGAAAAACTTCAGAGGTACATATTTCTTCTCATGACTCTCCTCACAATACTTAGTTTTCATGCCAAAGAGAAAATCTGTGGTCAAGGAAAAGAGAAGAATATCGGAAATTATCACTCTAAATTTGAAAACTAAAAATTTGGCATAGTCAGAGAGTTGCATGATACCGCAGAAAAAAGTTTGTTCACTGATTTCATCAGAAGTGGGACTTACAGTGCTTCCCTGCCTTCTTTTTACTTGAGCTAAATACCTCCGATTTTCCATTTTAGAGATAGCAGAAAATATATCTGAAGGGCGAGAGTGAACACCCTGATGATGACTTGGAGCTCCCATTATTCGACCTACACACAATTGCTGAGTCCACAAACAATTTTTCAATGAGGAACAAGCTAGGTGAAGGCAGTTTTGGACCAGTACACAAGGTAAAACAAAATTGGAGTGGACTATCTGAAACATAGCACAATGATCCTGCTTTTGGAATTGAATCTTCCCATTGTTATTTTTTTTTTCCAGGGTATACTTGTAGATGGATGAGAAATCGCTGTGAAGAGACTTTCAAGTAGCTCTAGGCAAGGACTGAGGGAGTTCAAGAATGAGGTCATACTAATTGCGAAACTTAAGCACCGAAATCTAGTAAAGCTTCTTGGTAGTTGCATTCAGGGAGACGGAAAAATGCTGATCTACGAATACATGCCCAACAAAAGCTTGGATGCGTTTATTTTTGGTAAACTAGCTGATTCATTTCGGGTTTAAATACAAAATGTAGCTATTGCCTGGAAAAAAAAAAGGTATATGAGACATGGGACTGACTTGACTAAAACTTGACAGATAAAGAGAGAAGTAAGATATTGGATTGGCACAAGCGGTTCAAAATGGGAGCACACTGACCAAACAAAGAGGGATACAATATGAAATCATGAGTGAAGCAATTAGACCATGTTAAACACTCATTTGCCAGAAGTTCAAACTATCAATGAACTTGCACAAAATGTGTATCAAGCATACTCCTCATAAGGGGATACAAATGTCACATTTACCATGAAAGAATAAAGACGGTAAGAGAGACCGAGTTTCCTTGATAACTAATTATTCTCTCTAAACTCAAAAGGCAATTACAGATATTTGACTGAAGATAATTCTGGTAACTTTGATCAATCTATATCCTCTATCAAAAACTAATTATTGAAAGAAACAAGTGTCTAAAATCCTTTACTCTCATCCTGCTGCAATTCTTAAACAAAGAGAACAAAGGTTCTTTCCACTTGTACTGAAGCTGATTTTCTGTGTTTCAGGCTACTCCATGTTGTTACAGCCAAACCCTGTTTAGTCATGCCGAGCATGATGCCACATATAGACCCAATTTCCACTTTATCTAAAATCTGTGGGACCACCTAAAAAAGGGTGTAGCATGCACCCATTACCCCATAAACAGGAAGAGAACAAATGATTTCATACTCCCCCAAGACTATTCCACACAAGCAGAAATCATAAGCACTAGAACATGAATTTGGAGACCAAAGCATCCTTCTCATACCGTGCAATGGCCGTCTACAAAGATAATATGAGGTCGATACGGTAATTCAGTGACCCTGGAGGAAACGTATGCATTGTACCAATCAGTAACCGTGTGAAAGGTTTGCATTTTCAAAGCGGGCAATAAGAACTGTTGGCTCCTCGATCCACTGCGGCGTCAAGAGAGATAATGTTAGAGAGAGATAAAATGAAATGAAGAGCAGAGAAAACAGAGAGAAAAGTAGAAATAGTCCACATAAAAATGATAGATAAACAGCTAGCAGGAAAAAAACCACCTGTCTAACCACATTGGTCTAGACTCTAGATCCTCAAAACTTTCGTTCTCATCTTTCCCAGAATCTAGGGAATACATGATCGGCCGATTGCAGTTTCAGTTTAGCCAGAATCTCCAGCGTCGCGACAACCATTGGTTCTGCGCAGCCATAATCAATTATGAAAGGGTAGAGCTACCACAAAAGACCACCTGTCCAACTGAATTTACCTGGAACCTAGGTCTTTCCAATCTGTGTGGTTCCCATGTTTCTCGGAATCTAGGAGATAATTAATCACTTGTTAGCATATTCAGCTTTCATTATCACTGATCCCCAAACTGTAATAGCATTCAATCAATTCCATATCTAAAAATGCATAGCAATTTGTATTGCACTCCCCTAACAAATGACATAACTTTGGAGCTCCATATAACCATTGATCATTATCACATCCTACTCCGCCATAAAACTGCATAAAACCCGCAATGCCGAATTCCCGTAACCACCAGTCAATTCCAGATTCCAACTGATTTGGATCCTAACTGACACGACTAGATCGGAGACGAGGGCGAACAGATGGATCAAAAAAGCATAACCTGATCGCACCGCAACTCTCCCGGTTTGACAGACGCGAATCGACCCGACCCGATCAAATTACGAACCGGATGCCGCTTACCCTGGTCCACGCAATCATCCAAGAACTCGATCGCTCAGGAGACCCAACTCGCCGCCGCCCCCGCCCTCGGCGATCTGGAACGCGCCGTCCTCGAACACGTCATCGTTGTGGATCCGTGATGAAGAAGCTTCCTGGGTTCGCTTCGGGGAAGGGTGGAAGTAGAGGTAGAGAGAGTTTTTTTCATTTTTAAAGTTTCGTTTATTTTCCTGCTAGAAAAAAAAAGTTTTTTTATGCATGATAAAACGCCCAACATAAGGTAATAAATCCAGAGGAAATCACAATCTTTGACCATCAAAGTTCTGAATCAAAACAAAATAAAAATCAGTACCTTTGATCATCAATTTTTGTTTTTGTGAATGATTGTATTTATAACGCATTCCGTGCATAACCATTGCTATCTTGTATAGACGAACTTCAGAATTGTACTTACAAACAAATTTATTAAATATCTCATTAGATTGATAATAAAGAGTCTTCGTACAGACAACATCAAACAAGCATCTCAATTCCAAAATTAAATTAGCATAAACCACTATGGATACGATTTTTTAAAATCACAAATAAATCACCACAAATTTCGAATCAATATCCAATTCTAAGAAGCAACATGATTTTTTTTCCCTTATGCCCCTATCCAAGAAAGAAGTAATTAGAGATGAATTTGTTTGTTTTGAGGAGTTTCTTTTCCTTTTTTCTTCTTCAATTTGAATAAAACTTTTTAAGTAGGAGCCGGTTTTCAGGAAGGAGAGACTTCTTGTTGTGGACCACTCTTTTTAGCTTTCTTCTTTGGCGTTGTGATTGCAATGTCCCACCCGTCTTTGGAGCCTTATACATTTGGACAGCTATTGATATAAACGCGACTGGTCGATTGAATTTGATACTTATCGCAAATGTAAGCGCGTGTGGGTGTGAGAGAGAGTCGGTCGACGGAGTTTACATTCGTCTTTTTACGCATAAAGTGGAGTTGAAGTTTACGTACGAAATTGTCATCGTCGTGACTAGTGACTTTGGTCTGAGGACCATCTCCAGCACCTTAGGCATGAAATGCCTAAACGTGCATTAGACTAGAGTTACAAGAGTCGCAATCGTTTCTGGTTAGCTGAGCACAAACAAAATGGCTGGGGTGTGCTTTGTCGGATGCATGACTGGCTGTGGTTAAGCTGCATAGCAAGTTCTTTTCAGTCTCACAAATGCAGTGTAAATTCTTGCTTCAGCCAGTTGATGGAAAAACTTTGAACTCAATCAGTCCCTCACTTTACATCCTTTTCCTGAGAACAATCATCTTATCCCGACTCGAGCATCAAACAACAAAGGAAAGCCAAATGGTGAACGCACAGTTCAAATTAGATTCGTCTAATTAGTTTTCCTTCTCATGCAAGAAACTAGAGGAGAGTGCATTGTGAACAGAAGCAACTAGTATCATATGTGCATTAACTTGTTACATGTCTGCTTATCGAGACACTATAATTTCTAAGGGATTGAATTCATAGTCTGATGACTTCTTATGCCGTATGTTGCAGGAGCTGGAACAATTGGCAATCTCTCGGACTCGTCCTTGGGAAGAAGAGGCTCTCTCGCGGTGGTTTGTATCTTGAACGCCATCTTCGGTTGCTTGACTACCCTCTCTCTCTGGATTACTGGACCCATTGCCTCCTCTGCTTCATTACTGGATTCAGCATGGACTGGGTCGGCCTATGTGCTTTCGTACTATCCAACGAGCCTACTGGCCCAAAGGAGCGCGGGGCAACATGAATTTCCACTTTCTACTTCTTGTCGTGCGGCATCACTCCTCGCCCATCGCTTTTGTGTTTCGCTTGTGGCGGGCTCTCTACATTTGCTTCCTCCATTCCCTCCATGTTCTTCCTTGCGAGGTCCTCCCTTTCATCTCAGAGTCCCCATGGTGGTATCTCGTCCGGGAGAAGATTAACGAGGCCGTGAAGCTTATGACGGCTATCGCCAAAGCCAACAAGAAACACCTCCCCAGCGGAGTCATTCTCGCACTCGATGAGAAAACGATTGAAAACTCGAATAACATTCGATCCTACAAAGATCAGATGGACACAAAGGATGTGATAACAGGTCTCTCATTGATGTGGTGAAGTCGCCTATCACTCTGATTCACCTTTTCTTGTCCATGGCGATCAACTTCCTGTGTTCAGTCGGTTACAATGGCATTAGCCTAAACGTCATCAATCTCCACCCCAACTTTTACCTTAATGTGTTCCTCAATGGGGTGGCTGAAATGCCAGCCTTTTCGGGAGGAAGCCATTAGTGATTGGAACAGAGTGGTTCAGCAGATTCTTCTGCCTTATTGGGAGCTTGATGACGCTACACGGGATATGGAAAGTGGTGAGGATGGCGTGTGGAATTCTCGGGATTTTTTTGGGATGGCTGGCATGTACAATTTGGTCTTCATCTACACGACGGAGCTGTTTCCCACCATGGTCAGGAATGTGGCTCATGGCTGTGTAGCTCAGGCGGCGCAATTGGTTGCCATTTTAGGAGGCAGCTTGCAATTGCGATCTTTGTGGTTTTTGCCATTTTGGGAGGAATACTAGCGTTTTACCTGTCGAAGACGGTGAATCAGCCCCCGTATGATACAATGGCCGGAATGGAAGCAGGGGAGAGTGCAAGCACGAGTGTGTGAAGGAACTCAATTCTCTTACTTTAAACTAAACTTGATTAATGTAGACTCAAATGACTGTTCTTGATAATAGGATTTTCCATCCTTTGTAAAAGAATTGAAGGGTCACGTACGATCACAGCAGCATTGACTACAGGAACACATGATCACTTCTTTCTTTTTTCTTGGTTATGCCTTTTGGACCTGAGAAAGCAGGATGACAGAATCTGTCTTCTTAAACAAGGAGAGAATGCTTGCCAGAGTATATCTTTCAAGTAGGTTGTGTTGCCTTAAAGCAGTTGCCATCACATGATTAGAGCGCATTGTACTGATCTTCGACTCATAGTTGTTTTCAGATCAAGGCATTGTACTCCACATAATGAATCTATCAATTTTACTGACACGAGAGTATTAGGCTATATTGTTCACGGCAACACATGGTGAGCTTACAATTCAGTAACTTCTAAGGAATCAGAATAACTAACCCTGCCATTGATATGTTCAAAAAGAAAACATGTATGCCTAACCATTATGCCACCAATGATTTTACTTTGATCCTCTTATTTAAACATCCAAACTGTGTATGTGAATGGAATCTGCCTTTATGCAAGAACATAGACCCCACAAGTTCTTTGAAATAAAAAGTCGAATTTACCACAAGACCACTGCTTAAGGGACTACCCACGCTCGGCGGCACAACCTACTCTATGCAGAACATGCAGAAAATTGCATCTCTCAGACAAGGAAAAATTTCTGCTTTTCCTTGTACTTTCACGCTTTCTCTAATTACATGTTTATACTTTTAGTATGTCTAATCCAGTTCTTCTACTTTCATAAATTTTTTAATCAACTCCCCCGACACCAAATCCGATCAAATTCAACTGATGAGACCATTAGACAACACCAAAGTATGATTATCAAAATATGTGGATGCCCTCATAGACGTAGGTGGAAAAATATAGCCATGTAGACAATGTCAGAGTTTGATGTGAATAAAATTTAGCCAATGTAAACACTCACTTGGACGTCCACGTTAAAAAAAGAAATCCACATCATACTATGACATATTTTGAGGCCACTTCAGCTTAGATTATGTTGGATTTGCTGTTGGAAAGACTTGATTAGAAAGTTTGTAAAAGTAAAATGGCTTAATCAGATAAATTAAAAAGTATGGGGATTAGAAAAAAAGTGTAAAAGTAAAGAGGCAATTTAGAATTTTAACGTCAAGCTGACTAGTTATTTTCAAATGGAAGTAAATATTATGCTACCAAGAATCATCATTTATAACAGAGGAATCATAAGTCGAGCCATGTCGATGGAAATAAACATATTCAAAACACATGCTACATAGAAACACCAGACATTTGCAAGATGCCTGTTGAGACTTGAGAGAGTATCTATTGAAGCAACGAAAACAAAGGCAGGTGAGAAGAAAGGAAAACAAACCGAGAAATACAAAAATAAAGATGGTTAACATAGATAGGAAAAGAAGGCATAAATTAAGGATATGTCATCACGGGAACACGAGGTACTTTGAAAATCAATCGAGCAAGATGACACAAAGGACAGTTCATCGTCAGCTGATCATCTGTGGCTTCATCAGTCTGGGTGTAGAAAGATTAAATTTTGTTAGTCATTTGCAAAGATCATCATCTTCCTATATAAAATATCGTGCCCCATGGCCATGACTATTAATGAAAAATCTATCAACATATGTATGGCAATGCATTTCGAGAGAGCTTACCAAAAACATGATCTGGGGTCCATTCGCTTGATGACACCTACACTCCTGCCTAATTTCTGGCCAATGTTCGCCCTTCCGAAACCTCAGACTTCAAAGATTTTACTAGTAACAAAAGAAAACAATCGAAAGAAATTAGAGACTTCTTTTGCTAATCAAATTAAAGAGAAAAGAATTTAAACAATCCGAAAAAATTCGAGACTTCTCTAGGCAATCGAACTTGATGAAATTAAACAGAAAAAAATTCAACACGTGCAAATATGCAATTGGAAGTTCAAGAAAAGTATTCGTTTCTAAGGCTCTGTTTATTTCGCGGAAATGAATGATTTAGAAAATATTTTCTAAAGAATGATCGTTTAAAATAATTGGTCAACAAAAATATTTATCGTTATTGACAATAATATATATCTAAATATTTTCATAGACGATGAAAACAGTTTTCGTTTATTCATTTTTGCAAGTAACGCAAACGATTATTTTTCGGAAAATATTTTCCAAATCATTCATTTTAAGCGAAACAAATGTATCCTAAAAATAAGAAAAAAATAATTCACAGTGATTTAATTTTTTGATTACAGTACACTGATTAATTTAAAAATCAAAAAGGAGTTTGAAATTAAAAATAGGAG